ATACGGTGGTACCTCTACTTACGAAATTAATTGGTTCTGGAAGAAATTTCTGAACGAGAAAATGTAAATAGAGACGCGTTTTCCATGTAAATGCCCTAATTCGTTCCAAGCCCCCCCAAAATTCAGACATAAATGTTTGCAAAAGCATAAAAATGCATCAAATTATGTCACAAATATATGGTACAATTAGATTATTGCACAATGAATGAGAGTTGTGCATAAGGTAAAAAACAAAGAATGAAGAATAAAGAAAATGATGGTCATTTAACTTCGAACTGCATCCTCATCGTTTTTTGCCCTCTTTAATTCATGTTCTCTCGCAGAAGTGTTTTTTGCCTTGCGTTTTGTCAAGAACGGATCCAAGGACGTTTGCTTTTGTTGGTTTTTAACTTTCCTTCGAAAAACGTCCAAGGCAAACATCAGCATAGTGAGCGATCGCCCGATTGGTGAACACTTTTTTTTTGGGGGTGATTCACATTTACGTTAAAAACGATCAAAACACCTCATGGCCCGAGGGGCGAATGACGAGGACGCTGCAATCGACACATATCCATCTATCTACATACGTAGACACATACAGTCGAAGTCCCTCTTAGCCAATGGGATGCCACGATGATGCTCGCTAATAGCCAATGGCAGAGCAGCGATAAGTATGTTGCGTTCATGAAACTCGGCGCTTCGAGTAGCAGCCCATACTGTATTTTGACCTTTCGTATCTTGAAATTTCTTTCGTAACAAGAGACAATATTTTCGTAACTTGAAAATTTCATATGAAGGGACGTTCGGAAGTTGAGCTACCACTGTATAGCACAACACACAACTTTAAGACACGGACAGTCATGAAATTGTAACCACTTTTCCTGCATACGCTTTGTTGTTTGAAGCAGATATAGATGAAAGATGAGAGAGTCAAAGTCTCCTTTCACCAATAGAGCATGTGTTTCACTTACTGCGGCATGTGAAGGCAGCAAGACCCACAAACCAGCTGCAATTGAAGGTTAGCGGCAGTGAAGGCAAGGCAAAGCAATTTGGTGGTTACAGTTTTATTCATGCGAAAGGTATACTCATAACTTAAAAATGAAATGTATCATCTTAAAGCAAAACTATGCAATTACTATCCAGTTACGACACGCGAAAGGAATCAAAGTCGGTGCCCAGCCTGGAACAAATCGAGTTCAATCTTTTTTTTTTTTTTTTGACAGTGTTGTTTTTGAAGCCTTTTTCCCTCCAACTCTGCTCCAGCGCACTTGCCAAAGGAAGAGTCGGCTGCCAACAGGCAACCACTTTGCTCATTAGCCAGATAATGTGTTTTTTAGTTTTACAGCACGGCTACTTTATTTCTGCAGTCTCACTACAACCCACCTCTCTCTCTCACACACTCACACGCACACACACACACACAAGCACAAAGAGCACCGGCAGTGATTAACAACTGCTATTTATTGAGCAAAGCCATCAAGCTGCCCACAGCAAACACAGCACAATGAGACGGGGACTTTGGAGCAGCGGGGCCGCAGGGCCACAGTGATGTCGGTGTGACAATAGTATTGGGACACCTGGTTGTGAAACCAACAGGAAGGGGAAAATATGGAGTGAGTCAGCTGGGAATACTTTCGAGAAAGAATTTGGAATCAATCTGTTGGGAATCATTATTGAACATTTTGGGAATGAAAAGGTCAGCGATTTTCCGACTGTAGAGGCAGTTTTCCTAATATCTGTTCCACTTTATCCTTAAGGTCTTTTGTAGCTCCAGATGCTGAAACGGCACAGTGTTTTATGTCATCAAATAATCAGAGGTGCGTGCGGTTTTGTCAGGTGATGGTGGGGAGGCCAGAACGCATTGGTCCAAGCTGTTCTGTAACAAAGTGGCCTGTTGCTGCTGACATTTGCCATTGATCGTGTTGCTTTATAGACTTTCTGCAGTTAAACCCCCCCACCAGATCATTACAGTGAGAGCCCTGTAAATCCTGGCGGGGACGGCTGGGGGGCGGGTCATGACCTTGATCACTCCTTGGTTTTCATCCCCCACTTGTAAAGTGGAAATGAAGCCGCAAGGGTGCCCAGCCATTTGCTAGCTTGCGATTCCAATGGAGGTAAATGATCAATTTGACAATGAAGATGCAACGCCGTACATGAACTGGATTGGTCACAATCTACTGAGATAGGCATTAAAAATAAATACATCAATAAATGCATTTAAAACAAACATCCATTTATTTCCACCTCAGTGACGGTATGTTTCTATTTCGTTCAACTCACATCAGCAAGCAACCGGTCGTTTCACGGATGCTCAGGCCACGTGAAATAGGACATGGCGCATTAGCATGGTGTGTTACACGAGAAAAGCGAAAGGCTAATGTTAATCGGAATTAGTTTGTAATTCCCAGACAAAAGAGGACGGATTAAATGTTACTTGTTCACATGACTAGACTGCTTTTGGATTGAGCGGCCCCGCCCCCCAGCCCCAATCCAGAAGACAACATGTGGGTGACGTGTGTGTGTGTGTGTGTGTGTGTGTGTGCTAAACTGCTCGGCTCCCTGAAAAATCTTCCGCTTGGACCGTTTCCTCCTCTTCTGATCTGGTCCCTAAATTACCCCGAAAGCTTTTCAAGCTCCACCATCATAACTTTCACATACTTGCTTTTCATTCGCAAAATTTAAACATGAGCACTTAGTAGTGAGCAAACTTCTGCCAAGGCCAGATTGTGGTCAAGACTGTTTACACGACACTATAAAATATAAAATAAACCACCACAATGGATCGTGAGAAGGACGTTTAAGATTTTCAGCTTCACGAGGTTTCACAGCAACACCACACTTCCATTTTAAGGAGGCCACGCCTATTTTGGACGGTCGTCACACTTTGTAAATATCGCCATCATTTTTAATACTTTTAATACTTAGTAGGAAAGCATTGCTCTATTTGGTTGAAATTTGAAAAACGGGTTTGCCCCTGTTTCCACATGCTTGATGCAATGCTTGCTGGTTGCCTACGTGTTGTTGAAGGCAAAACACCTGCTCGGCGATGAGTCGACGTCGAGCTCTATGCGTCATTGCGAGGTGGAAAAGTCTAACGTGTCGACTAGTCGGTTCAAGCCCGGTTATGGGCATACTGTGAAAACAATTTAAGACCTTCAGAAGGCAAATGAATTGAATCCTAACTGGTCAAGTCAAAGGCCAGATCTCAAGCCAGGACAATACATCTTTATTTATATCGGGCTTTCACAACAGCTGCAGTTGTAACAAAGCGCTTTACAGAGGAGTTAACATAAAATAACAAAATATGGTAATACGGTGGTACCTCTACTTACGAAATTAATTGGTTCTGGAAGAAATTTCTGAACGAGAAAATGTAAATAGAGACGCGTTTTCCATGTAAATGCCCTAATTCGTTCCAAGCCCCCCCAAAATTCAGACATAAATGTTTGCAAAAGCATAAAAATGCATCAAATTATGTCACAAATATATGGTACAATTAGATTATTGCACAATGAATGAGAGTTGTGCATAAGGTAAAAAACAAAGAATGAAGAATAAAGAAAATGATGGTCATTTAACTTCGAACTGCATCCTCATCGTTTTTTGCCCTCTTTAATTCATGTTCTCTCGCAGAAGTGTTTTTTGCCTTGCGTTTTGTCAAGAACGGATCCAAGGAGTGACTGCTAATGTCCACCGGTGGATTACGTTGGAATTACTTTAATCATTAAATTACGTACTTGCTGAACAAACCGAAGACGACAAATCCATTGATGGTTTATGTTGACAGCAAATTAGTATGCATTCGATTTTCCCATCACGCTCTTCTTACAATATTTCTTTTGCATGAAGTGGATGCTTTATGTTATTCCTGCCTCGTGATGCCAGTATCGGTAGGCCAACATCTCGAATAGTTTTACCGTATTTTGGCTGTGTTACATAGTGATTAACTTCTCCACATTTGTATGACAGTTCACTGTTAAATTATTCATCAAAATGTGGTCTATAGTTAAGAAGTGTTTTACAATGGAAATTAATTGTCCTTTAATTGGAACAATACTTCCGGAGAAACATTAGTTTCAGAGGTCCCGTTGCACTTGACAAAGCTTCAGAGACGCCGAGGACATGGCCCAACGACAGTTTTCACAAGCTGCCGACATGCTGTAAATGTTCATGTAAAATAGGCGGAATTCCCCTTTAATGCCGAGACAGGAGGGCCAGATAATAAAGACAAATGAGGCGCTATCGGTTATTCATGTTCAGAAGCAGCCATCTAACATGCGGATCCGCGCAGTAAATAAAGCTGGTCTTTATATATACCCCCCACACCACCACCACCACCACACCCCACACACACACTATCTCCCCTATGGCTTTCGACAGCTGGTTGTGTTTTACGACCCTGTGCATCTTACCGAGGATACACAAAAAAGAAAAAAGAAAACAAACAGAAAAACACAGCAAAAGGCCTGCGCTCACCAGTCCCCATAAACTCAGCGGCTGATATGAGCTGGGCCAGGAGGGAGAAGAAGGAAGGGGCTTACCGGGGGTGAGTTTCCAGAAGGGATTTTCCAAGTGTATTTTACTATCAGGGTTTCGCTTGCAAGCAATGTACAGACAGATGCTAAAATGAGAAGAAATTGTCCAGTTAATCCGGGGTTATTATCCAGAAGACCTGGCGTGGCATGTTGCTGGTCTCCTGTGATGATTATATCTTTTCACTCATCGGCTGCCATTCTCCCATATCGCTAATACATACTCACTAGGGTTTCGGTTGGCCTTATTTGGATTTTGGAAATAATAATCATAAATTCCGATTTTGGATATATTTTTTTATTAAATGTCGCCGGTGGCACTTCCCATGGGCGTTGAGTTCGATCCTTAAGCCACATGCCCGTTTGCAGATGGAGCAGGGGAACCTGAATTCCACAGGGACACGAGCCGCCCGCTGGTGTCGTTGAATGCGCCTCTCGGTTCATCACTCTCGATGTATTTGTGAAACTGCAGTGGGACAAGTTATGTGCCAGGCTGATCTGTCGACTGCCAGAGTTTCAAGCGGCGTGGTGTTGATGTTGGCTCGCTTCAGGAGGTCCCTTGTGTAGTCCAGAAGGTGCCGCTTTTGCTCCGCGGCAGAGCGCTTTGCACATCTCAGTTGGCCGAAGAGGACTTGGCGGGGCAGGCGGTGGTCAAGCATGCAGGTGGTGTGTCCAGTCCACCAAAGATGTTTCTTTTCCACGGCCAAGAAGCTTGCGTAAAGGTATGGTGTAACTTCCACCTTCTTCACTCCTACCAGGTGAACCTCCAGTGGCATGAGGGAACCCATGACGACCTTCTCCTGGCAGGAGTTGCAGGGGGCGTCCGGTAGTCCGGTCTGTTGGACTCCGCCTATGCAAGTCCCCAGGTGCAGGTTTGGGATCACTCTTAGTCTGGCCTCTACCCTTCGACCTGTTTGGCTTGGGTGAGCTTGCCAGGAGTGCGGGACTCCGGCCGACATTGCACCTCTCCATGACTCCTATGAGCTAAGTGACACGATAAGGTGGTGATGCCGTCGAGTCACACAAACACACACACACACCCACACACACACACACAAAGCACATCCCTGAGAGAAGAAGTGCACGGTGACTTCCTGCGATCCAGTCTGGCAGCTAGTTTACACGCTGGCAATGCCACTGCACACTGTCACCTACACTCATCACTGGCTTCTTACAGGATTTGTGGAGAAAATCTCTCCCACCCCCGAGACAGATAAACACGCAACACCAGCTCGGTTTTCTTTCGAGCCACCTTCACTTTAAGGGCAAAAGTATTTGGGCACAGGAAGTGGAAAAACAACAGCAGAGGCTTGAGTTTGGTGTGGAAAAAAACAACATGAGGTGCATCCATCCATTTTCTATGACGGTCATGCTTATTAGGGTTTGGGTGCCAGGGAACCGAACCCAGCTGCTTCGATTCAAAAGCAAAAACAATGAAATCATGACACAGCAAAGATGATCACTTTGAAGCACAAAATGCCCGAGGCGGCTTCCAGTGAGGACGCCTTCCAAAAACATCAATGGTCTGAGCAGGGGGCAGAGACGTAGGCCTTTCTGCTACCACTTTATTCACTGCACAAGGCTAGGACGTCAGTGTGTTTTCCTAGCAAGATGCAATATGGCGAGATGTTGTACCTCACATCACGTTTCAAAGCAATAGTGGTGGACAGGCAAGCTAGCAGTACTAATCCTCCTAATGCTTAATCACTTTCATTCAACCTTTCCACAAATCTGATCTCATTTTCTTTCCTGACACACGCGCACACACACACAAACAGGCCAGACCAGGATCAAATGATTCATGCATCCAATAGTGCGGCAAAACCTCTATAAACGTACAACCTTGCAATCAGTATGATGTATTATTTTGCCATTGTGTTCTCCAGTTGGTTGAGTGTTGTTTACGACACTGTATGTGGTTGCTGCTGTTACCTGAAGACCTTCTTTATTTCCATAAGTACATTTGTTTGCAATTTCCAATGTATTACCTTATATGCTACCGGCTTTACTGCAGTGCCAAGGTTTGATTCCCAACCAGTCCCGCAATTCCCAACTACTGATGGTCCCAAATCCGGGGAAAAAAAAAAAAAAAACTAAGCATGCACGTGCGAACTCTTGATGGAACAGGTCGCAAGTTGCAGACATAGTATAAAAAAGCAAAATCATTCCATTGCCCTCATCATCAGACAGCCTCTTTCACACTATTTTGTTTCTCCTTGCCTTTAACCTACAAAGCATTCCAACCGAATGACACACGAGAAAATCTTTCCTTTAATTTTTTTTTTTTTGCTCTCTGATTACTGTATCTGTCATTATCACAAAAGACCTGCTTGACAACATCCCGTCACCCTCATTGTGTTGCTGTTCCGCATCTTCGGCGCGCACATGTGTAAAGAGAGACGCGATGGCGTCTCACTGCTGTCTGCGACCTCGTCTTAATACTCATACAGCAAGTGCTGAGGGCCAAGTGGCTTCAAGGTGTTTAAGCAAATAGCGTGTGTGTTGTTCTCGTCTTGCTTTGGTGTGTGTGTGTGTGTGTGTGTGTGTGTGTGTGTGTGTGTGTGTGTGTGTGTGTGTGTGTGTGTTACATAAGGAGCGAGATCTTCCCCTCTGGGCCTATCTTGACCAGTCGAGCGAAAGGCGACAGCTCTGCCTCGCGCACTCAAAAGTGTCTTGCTTGGCTTCCGACGATGCAACATCAGCGCCAGAAATGATGCAACATTTATGATCATCGCCTTCACTGTCAGCACGATGCCCATTTGGCCCTCATCAGCTTTCTACATGCGTGGGAGAAAGCCGGGTCCAACTCTGCAGGGTGCCTAACCAACTTCTTATTTCACCAATCTAGATTATCCCGCTTAATACATCAGTCTGAAACATATATCTACCCTTCCCCACCACACCCACCCAATGCTCCATCTTCCTCCCCACTGAGCTCATTGTGGTGGAAAAGATGCTAAAACAAAGGGAGCAGACAGCGCAGTGATAATCCTCAACGCAGCAGCTGTAACCGAACTACATTGGCTGTTTTGTTTTTGCTAACTGGGCACTCTCTTAATGGTTTTGGCAATGTTTTGCCTCTGAAAATCACTTAGACGCATCTTTTACATTGACTGCAAATGTTCCATACAGGATGTGAGCTCTTGTACTACTCTGCCCATCACATCCTGCCTGGGGGAGCAAAACAAGGCACAAAAAAAAAAAAAAAATACCCTCACATTTGATTTCAGACAGGGCCACAATGGCAGCACCTCAGTTCAAAGAAATAAACTAGAGATGCACAGACAGGAGACTGATTTCAGGCTGTACCACATCAGAGAATAATGATGTAATAAATATGCATTCAGTCTGAAATGAGGATTAAGTGTGCCTCACATTATCAGGACACCCAAAACTAAACACAGCATTGGGTAAAGCAGCTGTATTAGCTAACGAAATTTAGCACTTAAAGTTGAAATGAAGAAAATGAACACCCACAACTGTGTGAATCTCCACCGAGGCAAAACAATCATGCAATACACTGGGATATTCTTTCCTCTAATGCCTTAAGCGTGATACACACATCATGATTTTTTTAACTGAAGTGATTTTTTTTTTCAAATGTGCGAGACCCTACATGACATAGAAGCCATCAAGTATATTTTTACTGCTCTTATAGTGGGTGACGTCCCCCAGATAACCAGCACAGCACACACACACATTTCCACCAACAATCACAAGGCAAGTCTTCTTGCCAAAAGCAGATTTCTGTTGTAGTACCAAATTGACCTGCGGGGGCAGCAGAATGCCACATGTCATCCAGACAGCCGGAGAATATCATAAAAGAAGAAAGAGCAGAAAAAATACAACAGAGCTAGGCTAACTGTGAGGTTAGCTAGGAACTACACTGCGGTTGTAAACTCTGCTTGTCATTTATACTACAGTGAATTATGTGGGTGACCCATAATACATGGAGAATATCATAAAAGAAGAAAGAGTAGGAGCAGAAAAAATACAACAGAGCTAGGCTAACTGTTAGGTTAGCTAGTAACTACACTGCGGTTGTAAACTCTGCTTGTCATTCATACTACAGTGAATTATGTGGGTGACCCATAATACAAACACTCAACACAATTGTTGCCTCTTTATTTTTGCCCAGACACAGGATAAATTCAAGGTCACTTCCTAATTAGCTATCATTTCATCTCAAATCGCAATCTCGGAATCCCAACTTGGTGATAACCACACTCACACACACACACACACACACACACACACGCACGCACAAAAAAAGATAACATTTATGATTTTCGGCCTCAACTGTTTTCTGAATAGATTGGGGAGAAAAGGTCACTAAACACATTCGGTACCACAGGATATGTTTTTTTTTAGATTTCCTATTAAAACTCATTCAGTACCAGCCAATTCTGGACCAAGTCTGAAAAGACGTTTAAAAACGTCTTTGGGAGTGAATGAGTTAACTGGCCTCAACGGACTTGGGTCAGACTAGGGGAAAATTGCTGAATTTAGGCACGATTATCTGTCTAATGTATATGTACTACCTTTAGAAATCTTTTTGTTGATGTACTCCACTTTTACTCCTCTCCATCACTAGTTTTAAAAAAAAAAAAATGTCCGAACTTGAAGTGTTTCTCGAAGACGTAATAACACCAAAGTCATATTGACTTTGAACAAAAAGTGGGAGAACAGCTTCATTAAGTCAGACAGACAGCTGTGATTGAATTTCCAGACTCTGATCACATGTGAGAAAAGGCTGCTTCAACACAGACTGACTGCCGTTGTTCTCCCACCGAGTGACATTCCAGGAATAAGCAGCAGTAGATCGCTTTCTCCCACGTGAGGCTAACGTCTGAGGGAGAGGCGACATTCACAAGAGAAACGTTTGACACATAGGTCACTTACCAAGGTGGTCTCCATGGAAACTGTTATCATGCGATGTTCTTCCGTGATGTACAGCGGGAGGCCAGATTTGACCGGTCTTCCGAACGCTGACAATGGTCGCCTCCGACATGACCACGTGGCCCCCCTGCTGTCGATGATGGCGCTTCTGCGACTGCGGCGTCGGGGGGCTGCTGCTATCGAATGAGTGCTGGGAATTCTGGGAGTTCTGCGACGGCGAGCGGCTCTTCTCCCGGAAGGGCCGGCGAAAGGCCGTGGTCGGGCTGGGCGAAACGTGGCTGGACTGACCCGACGAAAAGTCCTCCTCGCTGGACGTCAGGTTCTCGTTGGAGCTGCAGTCCGGCGTGTAGCCGCCACCTCCGCCGATGTCTTCAAAGCTCCCCGGGGAGTAAGAGCGGCGGGGCCACGTCAGGAGGTGGTCATCGCCTCCGCCGTGGTCTCTCATTTGGACACCGCCTCGGCCGTCGCCACCGCCACCTTCGCCCATCATCACGCCACCGACATAGACGCTGGAGTAGGCCTGGAAATCCGAAGGTTGCCAAGGCGGAGGTGGAGGTTTACCACCGTTGGATCGTTGATGTCTCTGATTGGGTTCACCGTCTTCATATTCAGCATCGTAGCCACATGTGCTTTCAGTGGACCGACCTCTATATACGGGTCTGGCGCGGAGCTCCCCTGCCACGGTTGCCAGGTTACCAGGCAGTGAGTGCAATGATCTCTTCCGCTCCATCTGCATGGCCTGGTTCCCCAGGGAGCTGATCTTGTCCGAGACTTCGCGGTCATTGACCCGAACCAACCCCCTGTCGTGGTGGAACTCCATGTTGGTGTAGAAAGGTGGCGGCGGGAGTGGCGGCTGCTTCTCTTGACCTTTATCGCCCACAGAGTGAGAGTTGGTCCGCTTGATCCTCTCGAAGTTGGACCTTAGAGCAGCCACACCGAGGCCCATCCCAAGCTTGTCTTTCGGGTCACAGGGCAGATCCTTGTCCAGAGGTGGAAGCGCCGGCCTACGGGGCGACGCGGAGATGCCTCCTCTCTGCTTGGAAGGCGAGAGGCCATCCAGATTGTCGCAGGATGTCGACTCAGCCTGTTGAGGGGCCTCGAAAGCCGACTCAAGCCCATCTCCGTGGGATGCTGACTTCCTCGCCGGTGGGGGTCGAGGTTTGGATCTGCCTGTTCCATCTCCATGAGGCTGGTAGCGGCCTCTGTCCACAATAGGAGTGGCACCGTAACCGCCGCAACCCACTCCACCCGTCTCCTGCATGTGTGGCTGCTGAGACTCTGCCCCCTGAGAGGCAGCAGGGTCCACCCCCTCATTGAGAGGCGTTTTCCTAAAGCCCCAACGCTGCTTGTCGTAGCTTTTCCTCTCCTTGGCCAGGAGGGTCTGCAGGTAGATCATGCGGAAACGTTCTTTGTTCACTTCCTGTTCCAGTCTCCTGATGGACGCTTTGCATCTCTCCAGCTCGTGCTCAATACCTCCCACAGACCTCAGCTCCATCTTGGGGGGCTCCGACTCTGGGAATTGAGCCTTCCACGCCTCGATGAATCCCACCGGCTCTACCATATTGGGGTTTATTTGACCAATCCAACACAATCTTTCTTCAAAACAACAGCTCACCTGCAGCTAAATCGTGTTTTCAACAGGCCTTTAGATGACCTGCTCACCAACACAAATTGATGACACTTTTCGTGGGCAACACATCCATTTTTGGACAACACAACGGCTGTTCATGAGGAGGACCGAATGAAGGAGAAGGAGACATCATGGAAGAGAAAAAAAATGTATTTCTTCTCATGCATTATTCCAGCAGATGCCACTTTGAAGAAGGAATTTAAAAAAAAAATCTTCCTTCATGTCCAGTGTCAGTTCGAAACGAATCCCGAAAGAAAATGTCAAAGAAATAAACCGTCTCTTGGTTTGCCGGCGGTGTGTGTCAGTAGGTCCGGAATTGGTAGCACCGACAGGTCCGCTCACTCCTGGCCGACCATCTGGGTCCAGTCTCAGGTGCTGCTGCGCCTTTGTGCCGGCAGAGCGTACGGAGAAAGGATCACAAGGACGGCACGCAAGCAAACGCAGGATCGGACTGGTGTAAAAACCGTGGCAGCGGTCCAGTGGGAGTCAGACGTTCGGGTAGTCGCTTCATTTTCTTACCCAGTGTATATGGTAATGTATTTTAATCCGCGTTTCTCCAGCAGATTGGTCGTAACGCAGCGGCTGCGTGAGTTCCCATCTCACACGAGTGAACAAACACTGAGAGAGTGTAGGCAGGGAGAATGGGCGTGTCCAACGACAATGATCCAGCTGCTTAAAGAGACAGTACATGGATACATTTCTCCGCCCCCTCGAGTATTCTTTAAAATGAATTACATTTACATCATATGTATGTTTGTTTCGTTGTCAGAGCGTGAAATACTGATATTACGATTACCCTTTTTGTTTCTATACTTGCTCGTTTTATGATAAAAGAGCCTGGGTAAAGCAGACAGGGTTTTTTTTTTTCACAAGACTTGAAAAGGTTGTCTTCTCTTGGCGTGTTTAATTCAACAATGCCACCTACTGGACGAATGAGTCAATTCCAGTCAACGTCAGGATAATATTTTGTGGTCGTAAGAACAGAGGCCCATTGAGATCATGTCTTCTGTGGCTATACTAAACCTATGACATAATATAATGCTTGATGACTTAACAAATTTTTCTCATATATCTTTGAGCATTTCTGGGTTAAATGTTATTCGGGTTTCTGTGAAGTCATTCACTTGCCTCAAGTGACCTCCATGGGATCTGTTCCATTCAATGATAGTTGTCTCTGGCTGTGTCCAAATTTACGGACTGGGTCCACCGAATACCAAATTAGTGACGGTTTATGTGGTCCACGTAGTCTCCATGACGAGCAGCCTTTGAAGGTGTCGAAGGACCCAGCCTGCGAATTCCGGTTGCCACCTTTCAGATCTGGAAATAAGGGACACTCTGTACGTGGCAAAATCACGTGATCGAAAGATTTGTACTTTAACATTTACGAAAACACTTAATAGCCTGAACCTGAGCATTTACTGTATTGTATACATAAAAATTGCTGTAAATTAATTAAAGCCTGGCTGGGGACACTTTCACTGAAAGAGGACATTACTTAAATAGCCTATAAAGTGCTGTAAATATAACTGGGATACCCCTTTGTGTGTTCTCTTGACCTTTAGCTTTGCAGCCACGAATAGGGTAAGCATTACAGAAAATGAATGCATTGGGAGTTAAGAATCTTTTAAGATTTTAGTATTTTATACTGAAATGATGGGCTGGAGTAAACTCCATATGAAGAGGCATTTATTCCCCATCATTGTGACTAATAATCAGATTTGTAAAGAAGCCAACCACAAAGTTTAAATATGATCTTTATTTACCTGAAAACACAACCTCTGTAATGCATTTATCTGAAAACACAACCTCTGTAATGCATTTACAATCATTATCAGCATTAAATAATGATAGTCGTATTTTTTTTACATGGTTAATATACATATTTTTTAAACCAAGGTTCCTTTGGACGGACCGCACAGTACGCCTCTCATTAGATCACAGTTTTACAGCAGTTGCCAAACATACAGGATCATGGAGACCTATAGAGGCAATTAAAAAAAAAAATAGGAGAACACTGTTGTATTGCAGGGATGTCCTCTACGAATGAACCACGAGACAGAAAATCGACTGGCCTAGACCTCGTAGTGCACAGCCAAGTTCATTTTGATGTGTCGTTTCTAATTATGCAAACATGACAATAAAAACAGTGATTTCAAAAAGTCTACTATCGAACCATCTTAAAACCTTAAGTCTTCATGTAAGAGTATTTCTACATTACAATCTATAATTACAAACTGTAAAGCCTACATACAGCTGCAAGGCATGCACGATGTTTGTACACAAAATGCAAGCTAAGACCAAGGCGCCCGAATGTTAAGAAGTCCCTACAAGTCAAAACTACCATGAAAGAGGGGAAGCAGGCTCGAATGGAGGGACATGTTGGGTGTGTTGAACTTCCCTGCACACTAAAAAGGAAAGCTGCATGGAAGTGAGTGTAAAATCAATACCATATTAAAAGCATCTTGTATTTGGTCTATTTCTTGTGAAAATCTTTTCCTCTGTGCAAAAAAAAAAAAAAATAAAAAATAACGCACGCATTCTGAACAAAAATATAAATTGCATCAAATTTTTTTTTTTGGCTCCCATTTTTCACAAGGTGAATATTTCTATATGCGCAAAAGCCCTAATACGCTCCAAGTGTTCACAGATCTTTCAACGGCTATATGAGTGCCTCCCTCGCCTTAACAATTCATCCACCTCGCAGGTGTGGTATACCAAAACGCTGCCCAGAGAAAGGCCACTCTCCACTGCACTTCTACTGCAGTGGGGTCTGGTGGCATGGTCAGAAATACGATGTGAATTAAAAATAAATGATTGCCGCAATGCAGCAAGTCTTGGAACTGTACAAATTTAGCCTTTCCTTAGCACACCTGGGCAATAGTCATGCCATCTAATCGGCATCTTGATACGCCACATGGATGGATGGATCGTCATGGCGAAGGACAAGTGCACACCAAAGATTCAGATTTGAAAAAGAAAAAAAAGTGAAAGAAATTGGCTTTTTATGTACATAGAAAAAGGGCAACTTATTACGTGATCTCTAAAACCAAATGTTGCATCAGTATTTTTTTTCTTCTCAGTGGACATACATCATCGTCACGGCGTGCGGAATGAATGACGACGGCTTGGTCCTCGTTAAAGTATTCAAGATTTTTAGGGCAGCCAACCTAGGAAAAAGAAAAACCCTGTCAGATCATCGCCATTTAAGAGCATGATCGTGTTGATGTGGATAATTTCAAGCAAGGGTGGAGGAGGGAGGGGTGGGTAGGAAGGGGTGGCACACAAGTGACATTCACAATGTGAGCATGTGGGCCGCACGGATGTAGATTCCTATTACAATTCACATCTTTGGCACCTCTGACTATGAGAAGCATACGTCGACTTCAGTCGACGTAATAAAACGGGGCAGTGAAAACTCTGGTCTTGAGTCATTTTGTAAATCAAGTGTGGGGGGTGGGGGGGAAGAAACGAGAAATACTCACTCTCGTGACAGGGGAGCCAGTGGAGGGCATTGAAGGAAGAAAAAGCACATCAATGTTGTCAAGTGGTACACAAACACATCCAGGCTTCTATCACCACTAACATGCTTTCGATATCTTTTTGTGTTAAATTCATGAACTGGACGGACACTCAAACATGTTCACACCAAATATGGTCAATATTTAGTACCAAACTCATCTAAAAGCCAAGCATTCCTATGTGAAATTCGTTGCACACACACACACACCCACCCACACACACATGGGTAATGTTCCTTCAAGCAAATAATGACAAACACTTTGATTCAAAGGATTCATAAGTATATATATTTTTTTGAAGTTAAAGGGAAAAAAAAATATTTGGGGTAAATCACGTGATATCTTTTTTTGAGTCGTATTTATCGGTTCTTTGTATTATTGTCCTTTGAATCAACATCAAGACGGTTATGTACACAATCTTGAATGACTTGGTCTCGAAAGTGGGAATGTAAAAAAAAAAAAAAACATGCAAAAGGATTTTTTTTCTAAATTAGAGGGAAGTAAAACTGTTCCTTTTTCTGCACAAGCAGTTTCTCATATATTTTTGAGCATTTCTGGGTTAAATGTTATTCGGGTTTCTGTGAAGTCATTCACTTGCCTCAAGTGACCTCCATGGAAAGAAAAAAAAAAACATTTGTATCACATTGAGGTAGCTGTGATCTTCCCAGTGCAGAAAAAAAATGACTTCTTTCAAATCATATCACTAAAGAAAAAACAAAATCCATTATGTTAATTTCTAGTCTTACATTTTGGAGTAGAAGGGACACATAATTAAATTAGAATTGAGCAACCATATACAGTTCATGCTTGGTCACTGGACATGCAGTTTAGTTTTGGTTTTTTGTCGGAATATTCTCCCCCCCACATCATCTGATTGGACCATTCCAACATTCACTCTCAAACCTTTCCCACCCCAGTTCTTGTCTGCCACGCATCGCTTGTCCTCTGAAAAACGTTTACACTGAAGACACAATGGTTAATTAGAAAAGAAACATCAAGGCAGTACGTCTAAGTCACGCTGGTCCAACAAATTTACAAAGCCATTTAAAAAAAAACAAACAAAAAAAAAAAGTCGATTTTGATAGACATCCCCGCCACCCTAACTACCACACACACACACACACACACACACACACACTCACACACACACACACACACACACACACACACACACACACACA